AGATTCTTATTCTGCTCTGTGTGACTAATATTACTCTAGCACTGTTTTTCTCCTTTGCCCTAATAGAAAACTTTATCAGGCCCTAAAGGTTTCTATATTCTGTGGACTGACTGAGCAGAAGAGGAGGCTCTGGTTATGGGCGGCACCTATCCAGTCAGTCTAACAAACCACCAGAAATCGCTCGTCTCTGAAGACTGCGAACTCTTGGCAGTTAGTGATCCATCAAGCAAGACGTCTTTTCAATGAACAAAACTCTGCCCTTTCAAGACTTTGTGACATTCAGAATAATGCTCCATGTGATCTCCAACCTGCTTCATAAAACAAGCAGCTTCCTTGCAAAGCCTATAGGTTATTATTCACGGTCCCCTCTGAACCTGCTGGATCAATTGATCTCAAATAAAAGGGCGAATCAATAACTAAAGTAAAATCAAAATCAATAACTAACTCAGATAAAGGGTGAATCACCATCGTTTTCTGAAGCGGGAGTGTGGGGTGACTGTGGCCTACAGCCTGCAAGAGGTTGACACAGGATCACATTTTGAAGTTGCCCAAAGGCCCCGACACAGAAACTGAGCGTTACAGCTGCACAATTACTGCGCGTCCCTAATTATTTAATCTGCTGGCTTTACCTGCCCCGACCGGAGAGACCCGAGCGACTAATCTGGTCTGGGAGGACGGACGCAGATCGGGGAGAGGGGTTATGTAGACGAAGCGGAATCCGCCCAGGGGAAAGCGACCGTCTGCCGGCGGGTCCGGAACCCTGGACTGTGGCCGTGGGCTGCACAGGCCCAGGCCGGGCGGGTCCAGCTCCCTGCTGCCCAGCAGGTGGCGCAGGAGAGCACGGGCTCCACAGGCCCAGCGGACACCCAGGGAAGTGGAATGCAGGCTCGGAGCAGAAGCTCTCGGATACCTGGAGAAACAGCGGCACGGGACTCCGGCACCAGGGAGCGCCCCTCCGCCTGCGCCCTTTCCCGTGCCGAGTCTCCCCCAGAACGGGCCGAAGTCCGGTCAGCGGTGTAAAACAATCCCATCGCTGCTTCCCCTCGCGATCGCCTGATTCCCTCGAGATCGCCTGATTCCTCGTGATTGCCTGATTCCTAGAGATTGACTGATTCTTCGCGGTCGCCTGATTCTTCGCAATTGCCTGATTCCTTCAGATTGCATGATTCCTCGCGATTGCCTGATTCCCTCGCGATTCCCTGATTCCTCGAGATTGCCTGATTCCTCAAGATTGCCTGATTCCTCGTGATTGCCTGATTCCTCGTGATTGCCTGATTCCTAGAGATTGACTGATTCTTCGCGATCGCCTGATTCTTCGCAATTGCCTGATTCCTTCAGATTGCATGATTCCTCGCGATTGCCTGATTCCCTCGCGATTCCCTGATTCCTCGAGATTGCCTGATTCCTCAAGATTGCCTGATTCCTCGTGATTGCCTGATTCCTCGTGATTGCCTGATTCCTAGAGATTGACTGATTCTTCGCGATCGCCTGATTCTTCGCAATTGCCTGATTCCTTCAGATTGCATGATTCCTCGCGATTGCCTGATTCCCTCGCGATTCCCTGATTCCTCGAGATTGCCTGATTCCCTCGCGATTGCCTGATTCCCTCGCGATTGCCTGATTCCCTCGCGATTGCCTGATTCCCTAGTGATTGCCTGATTCCTCAAGATTGCCTGATTCCCGCTTGCTTGAGCCCCTTTCTCAGCCCATCCAGCCCCTGCTACAATCCGAACAGAGGGCAGGAGCGCCCCCTGTGACAGGGAGGAGAGATGGGCAGGGATGGAACCCTGGCTGGGGCAGTCTGGGGCAGTCTGGGGCAGCCCGATCGATCTCGCCTGCGGGGCTGGAGGAGGCAGGAGGAAACCGGAGCACGTGGGGACCGCCATATAGGAATACTACCTTTGAAAAGCCAAATGGCCCCAACTAAAACAGCGACACCTGTTTACTTCAGGTCTGCTTTAATCCCCCCGTGAGTAAGGGGCAGAATGAGAGTCAATGGGATGTGCATGAAACTAAAGAAAGATCATGTTTCGATGTCTGTGCATGCACAACCTGTCACAGTCTGAGTGTACGGGTGCAGAGGTGAATTGTGTCTGCCTTCTTGGAAGTGTATGTTTGTACTTTTTCACACAAGTGTGTGCGTGAGTGAGCATGTGTGTGATGAGTGTGTGCGTGTGAGTGTGTGTTAAGCCAGACTGAGTTCCTAGTTATCAGCTTGTTATTCCCTAATGAGCTTTATGTGGGTGTAGGTAGGACTTAGAGCCTGACAGATCACTCTTGCCTCTGTGTTTTCACCCTTCTCTCTCATTAATTTTTCCTCAGTCTATTATTCCTCTCTCCTTCTCCCCAGCCTGCCTGTGCTGTCTCCCTCTCTCATTTCATTCCTTATCCCCTCTATTTCAGTCTGCGGAGAGCGCCTGATTTCATTCATGTCACTCTCCGACTCATTCTCCCTCAATCTAGATCTATATTTTGCAGTCTTTGCAGTCATACTGTTTATACAAAGTTAAAACGTTTCCGTTTACATACAGCCCGTGCCCCTATTCACCTGGACCTAAAGTGGTGATATTTGGACTTTTGACCTTGCTCAATGCCCTAAAAGTTACAGAAGCACCTCACTGGAACTCAACATCACTAAAACCCAGTTTCATTACTGGGCTGCTGTGTCAACTGCATGTGTTAACCCTCTCCCTGCCTGCTTCTCCCTCTGTCCATCTCCTCCTCCTCCCTCTCTCTCGTTCCCTCTCTTCCTCCCTCCTCTTCCTCGCTCTCTCATTCCCTCTCTACCTCCTCCTCCCTCTCTCTCATTCCCTCTCTTCCTCCCTCCTCCTCCCTCTCTTTCATTTCCTCTCTTCCTCCTCCTCCCTTTCTCTCGTTCCCTCTCCCTCCCTCGTCCTCCTCCCTCTCTCTCATTCATTCTCTCTCTCCCTCCTCCTCCCTCTCTCTCATTCCCTCTCTCCCTCCTCCTCCCTCTTTCATTCCCTCTCCCTCCTTCCTCCTCCCTCTCTCTCATTCCCTCTCTCC